GGATGTAGGTTATACACACATTACCTTTGTCTCTGAGTTTCTTTCCTTTGTTTCTTCAACAAATGTTCATTGAGCACCTACTTTGCATGCAATTCATACTGTGCTAGGTGCTGGGGAGGCAGCCGTGAGTGGCATGGGCATAGTCTTGGCCCCCATGGAGCTCACAGTCTAGTGGGAGAGGTAGGGTTCACATAAAGTCCCCATGAGCACATCTTTGTTTAGGAACTGTGAAGCTCTTCATGGAAGCAAAGAGCAAGATGCTATGAGAGAGTGTAACAGGAGAGCTGATCCTGGCAAGGTTTCTCAAAGGTGGGGAAAAAATGTGTGGTCCGAATGATAAGTAGGAGTTGGCCAGGTACAGGGGGTGGGGGGCAAGAGCTTTCCAGAGAGAGGGCAAATCCTAAGTGGTATCCTTTGTAGGAAGTGAGTATGTGCCATAAGAGGAACTTAAGGCCAATCAGTGCAGCTGGAGAACAGTGGGCAGGGGCAGTGGCTCAAACAACGAGCCACTGGAGTGGCAGGGGCTGGATTGTGAAGGCCTTTAGACTTTCCTACAGCGCTTGCATTCTCTCCTGGTCTTCATGAATGGAGACACCCTCCTTGATTTCCCGCTGCGGCAGCCCTGGTATGCAGAACAGTCCTTGGAACATGGGAGACTCTGATAACTGTGGAATGAATGAGACCTCTCCTTCCCAGAGTCCTCCTGAGTCCCCAGGACCCGGGATCCACTGTTTTAAAATTTTGATTAATTGTTTCCGTGTAATGTCAATCAAGATTCAACTATTTTTCTAGATATTTGGGGGGACATGTTTGTCTAAAGAAACTGTGGCACTGTCGCTATTTGAAATACAACATCTGATTGTGCACCCGCATACAGACATGCACATGTAGCCACATCCTTGGGCCCAAAAGCACACCCCTCTCTGTCAATAAACAACAGAACTGCCTGGTCTCAGGTTGTCCCAGAGATCAAGAGGACTGGCGTTGCACTGATCCACTGAGCGTGTGCTTACCAAGTGCTGGGCACTGAGCTAGGAGCCAGATCGGCTACAGGTGGTCTTGGCCACTGCCACCTGGTTGGACAAGTTCCTTAATTTCTTTGAGCATCCATTTCTTCATCTGCAGGATGGGAATAATAATAGTAGTTGTCTCATAGAGTAGTTCTTGTGTGGTTAAAATACACACAAACACACACACACACATACACATACACTCATATATCTTGGCACACTACCTAGAACATAGCTGATGACCAACAAATATGATCAATAAATAAATATTGCTCATTCTTCTTCCTATCTTCCTAATATTAGGATTGGTTAGTTACCTGGTAGTTTTTACCACACAGGCACATGCATACGCACATGCACATGAGCACTGAGAATCTGAATTCGGTGTCTGACCAACTGAGTTTAAGCCAGCACCCCGCCAGCCTCCCCGTCATCTTTGCCAGGTGGGTGGATTCTGAAGCTGCTGTCTGGGTTCCATCTGAGGTTCTCAGCACAGCGGAACTTTCCCAGCGACTGCTGTTCCTGTAATGTTTGGCCTCCCGTGAGAGCTGATTGATGAGAAGGCCCTGGGCGCCCTCTGCTGGCAGAGGCCACGCAGAACTTGTGGCCATCACCCAGGTGGCCATCAAAGGGACCAGTCCTGAGGGACTGTCCTTGGTCCTTGGTCTTTGCTGTTGTTGTCTTGTCATTCCCTGCTTCATCCTTGGCTCCCTCCCTCCCAGCCTTCCGCACTGGCCTGCAAACTTCCACCCTCCCAACTTCTCCCTCCTTCTCATGCTCTTCCTCAAGATCCTGCCTGCTTCCTGGAAGCTCAGGGGAAAAGCTTCCTCCAAGAAAGGGGACCATGAGCCAGGCCCTTGGCCATCCTGAGGTTGCCCGCTGTGCTGCCTCCCGTGGTTCCTTCAGGGTCAGATTTGTCAGAGCCAAGCCCGGCTTAACCAGAGGACAGATGGCTTGGAGAAGACGGACGTGAATGGAAAGGGTGATCCTGTCTCTCTTCCTCTGCAATTCTAAAAACGTTGGCAGAGAAGATTCGAAATGGAGACCCCCCAGGTGGTAAAGTGAAAAAAAGATAAGCTTGCCTTCAGATCCCTTTTCCTAAGTACACCTGGTGTATAAGTCCTGGGAAGTCGCTTCACGTCTTGGAGCCTCCGTTACCCCGTTGGTTGCATAGGGAGTATACTCGTGTCCATCTCCTGGCATTGGAGTGAGGACTGGTGAGGTCACATAGAGAATAGAGTACCTGCTTGGTGGTCAAGTCATCATGAGCAGCAGAGCCCTTTTCCCAGCTCAGTGCACCCATGGGTGCAGAGGCTCTTCCAGCTTTGACAGTCCCTGCATGCCATGGGCAGGCCCTTCAGCGCTCTGCACCTGACCAATGATGACGAGTGTGGCTCTGGGGCAAGATGGCCTAGCATCTCCAGTTGCTTTGTGCTTCAGCTTTCCAATCTCTAAACTGGGGGTCTTTACGGCACCTACTTCATAGAGTTGGGTGAGGACTAATGCTAAGTCCTGGGAACAGTGCCTAGTGCACAGCAAGTGCTCAGTAAAGGCTATTATTATCATTGTGATCACCATTTCACTAAGGCAGGCTGAATAGCTTTTATGACGCCTGTTTTACAGATGAGAAAACTGAGGTTTGAATGCTTTGCTAGGATGAGGTGTGGGCAGAACTGGAGCCCAGGCTTCAGAGCCGTCATCACTTCTCAGCCTTGCCATCCCCTACCCATAAAACAAGTGCTTGGGTCTCATGGGAGAAGGGTTCCAGAAGCATCCAGCCCACCCAGAATTCCTGATGGCCGGGCCCCACTGACTCTTCTGAATGGCTAATTCGTTGTCTCCCAGTTAGTCTGGGAAGATGCAGCGGACAGGGGAGAATGCAGTCTCTCTCTGCATCCCTAGCATCCAGCTCAGGGCTCACCCCGAGTGTGTGCTCAGCACGTGATAGTCAAGTGAGCAGGGCATGGGGACACCTCTCCACCCCGCTGTATCTTTGAGAGCAGATCTGTATCACCAGAGGCCACCTTACAAGCAAGACAAGAGGAAATTTAGTTCCTTAGACTCTGGCAAGTGTTATGTGCTGCTTGGGGCACTTACATTGCCCCTGGCAGGCTGTCTTTTTCTATTCACATTGCTGTTCCACATGCCCATGTTTGCAGACACATCACAGGCCAACCACAAACACCTAGGCAGGAGCCATGATCACAGGCACACATGGAGCTGTAAACCAGTACAGCTCCATAGACAGGGGCACACTGACACAGACAAACAAAATAGCATGCTTAATTGTACAAGGGTGGACCTAGAACCTTACCATCATGGACATATGTCCCCGCGCAGACAGTCCCAGGCCCAGTGGCTCACCTCCCCAGATTCATAGTCAGACAGGCTGGGGTTCAAATCCCAACTCTTCTCAAATCCCAACTCATTTTTTCTTGTCTGTAAAATAAAGATAATCATAACTGTTTTGTGGGTTGATGTGAAGATGTAATGATAAAATGGATGTAAAGTGCTTAGCCAGATCCTAGCAAATCATAAGGCTTCAGTAAAAAAATTGTCAGAGACGACGATGATGATGATGATGATAATGACAAAGATGCTGGCGACGTTGGTGATGTTGAAGATGGGGATAATGTCTCCTCCTCTGGGCTCTGATCTTGCTCAGGGATCAGACACGGAGAAGGTGTTCACTAAATGGATGAATCAATGGTGAGCTTCGCAGGTGGCTGGGGGAGTGCGTGGGGACGTGAGGCACAGACAGGAAGTAACCCAGGCCACTGGACGCTTGTATAGCTGGTTTTGAACTGCCCGAGGCCCAGGCTTCAAAGGCATTGCTTTGGCATCACATATTTTCGTTGTCTTCTTTCTGATTTTCATTTCGAGGTTGCCCATTCCAGGTGGCAAAACAAAGCAATAAACATCCGCCTCCCCTTGTTCTCCTCCTCCCCCTCCTCCTCCCTTTCCTCCTCCTCTCCAGATTGTAATTAATGTCTCTGACTCTGAGGGGCTCTGAATACCAAGGGACCTCAAAAGTCAGATTTTAAATATAGAAATGCCCTCGATACCATCCATGCCAAGCGGTTGTCAAGTTTCCTGCTTGCAAACTCCCAGTAACAGGGAGCTCATTACCTCTCTGACAGATCTACCGTCTAGAAGATTGAAGCCTTCCTCCCTGGGATGTGCTATCACCATCCCACCCTCCTTGAGACTATCTTTGTTCAGGATTCAGTCCCCTGCGGTCACACAGAGGTCTGTCTTCTGTTTCCTGGGATGGCCCTGCAGGGAAGGGCTAGAGGCACCACAGAAGTTAGGGCAGAAGAAGAGCACTAGCCTGGGAGTTAGGAGACCGAGTTTGAGTCTAACCCATTGGTTGTCTGTGAGCGAGTCACTCCCCTTCTCCAGGCCTCAGTTTCCCTATGTGTAAAAGAAAGAGTTTGAGCCAAAAGATCTCTTAAGGTCCTTCCACTTTAACAAACACACGTCCGTTCTTTCAAGGCTTCTTTCTCCAGCTTACGCTCGCTCCCTCTTTGTTTAAGCACTCGATGCTTTTCTGAGTTCCCTCCCATCCTGGCTCACCATTGTTATTGCTTCTGCAGGGGGACAGTTAGCAGCCAAATGTACGGTTTATAGAGCATCAGACTGTGTCTTAAGCAATTGGCAGCTTTATGCCATTAAGTGTTTACAGCTACCCTGAGATCTCACTTCATAGACAAGGAGACTGAGGTTCTGAGTGAACCAATAGCTTGCGCGAGACTGTGCAGCTAGGAAGTGGTGGGCCAATATGTGAGCCGCAGCCTGCCAGATTCTAGAGCCTATCATTAGCACCATGTTCTCAGAGGTAGGATTCAGGGAGCCAGAGGCATCATAGCAAGGCCACCCAACCTGTCACAGGTTTCTCTATTCTGACTACAAGCTCCCTGCGCTCCTGCCCTGCAGCCCCCAGCCGCCTCCACTTCCTCGATTTGGCAGTCTCTCTGCTCCTCTCCACAGGGAGAACAACTTCATCAAGGACTTTCCTCAGCTGGCCGACGGGCTGTTGGTGATCCCGCTGCCGGTGGAGGAGCAGTGCCGGGGGGTCCTCTCCGAGCCCCTCCCGGACCTCCAGCTGCTCACTGGTAAGACACACATGCCGGACCCCTCCCCAGCCTCCCTCACTAGGCACCTGGCCTCCAGGTGCATATCCATCCTCAGCACATCCAACGTTGGCCCGGCCAGGCTCCGACTTTGTGAGGGACGGGATGCGAGGGACCTGCCATTTCTCAGGCACCTGCTGTGGGCCCTGCAGAACCAGGAGCTTCCCTGAGACTCCAGACTCTGAGCTGAGGCCAGATTTACTCTCTTAGCAAATTTCTAGTATACAATACAGTATTATTCACTATAGTCACCACGCCCTGCAGTAGATGCCCAGAACTTAGTCATCCCGCGTAACTGAACTGAACTGTTGTACACTTTGAGCAAATCTCCCCATTTCCCGCCTCCCCACCCCATCATCCCACTCTCTGCTTTTATGAGTTCAACTTTTTCAAATCCCACAAAGAAGTGAGATTATGCAGTATTTGTCTTTCTGTGTCTGGCTTATTTCACTAGGTTTATTTTTAAATCATTCTAAAATAAAATCACTGGACCCTTCCCCCCCCCCACCCAGAAGCCTCTCTCACTTGAAAGCACTTCAGTTACACAGCTTGTTTTTGAACGTGGGTGCTGAGCCATCCTATAGAGTAGCTATTATTTTTCCCATTTTATAGATGAGGAATCTAGACTCAGAGAGGTGAAGGGGCCAGCCCAAGGTCACACAGCAAATGTGCCAGGAACCAGATGCGGTGGCTCTGGGTCTTCTGCCCTTTTCACTCCACTCTGCAGCTCCCGCCCTCCTGCCCTGTCTGTCTGTTACCGAGAAGCTATCTTTTGCAGGCTCTCCTGGGGCTCCAGATTTTCTGTCCCACTTCAGGGTGCCCTTCTGTGCCTCGGCCTCTCCCAGTTCCTCTCCCACCCTTTTCTTGGGGACTTTCCTAAGATGTAAGGCCCCTGGCTCTGCCTTTGTGATACAGTAGTCGGAGGTGTCAGCCTCTGTCCAGGGAGAATGGTCACTCTGATGGATGATGAAGCCGCTTGGATGAGAGGGAAGTTGTCCCCCTGGGAAGACCCTGTGATGTGACAGAGTTAGCTTTGACTCCCTCTCTGTCCCTTGCAAGCTCTTGAGACCCTTGTGCAAATCCTCTAACCTCGGTGAGCCTTTCCTGTAAAGGGGCATGGACAGGGTTGAGAACCCACATGTGCTGAGGGTCTTGTGCAGGTCTGGCACTGTGCATGTGTTAGACATGTGACCCTGCAAGGAGGCTATTGTCCCCTTTTAAACTGGTTCAAGGACTCATTTTAGTCCAAGGCCACAAGGCTAGTCTAGACTTGACTCAGGACTTCAGCCCAGTGGGTCTTGGCTTCAAAGCTGGTGCCATATCCACTCTCCTACCTCACCTTCCTGACCTGTCCTACTTCAAAGAGGGACCCAGATGTAAATCAAATGAAAGCACGGATGTAAAAATGCTTTGTATAATGTGTCTAAAAACTGCTGTGTCTTCTTTAATTTTCATTTTTCATGAAGTGATGAGGAAATCAGGCCTGCAATATCCCTGCTGAGTGACTCTCCTTCTTGGATACCCCCAGTGATGGGGAGTTCACTACCTCTTAAAGGAGACATTGCCATGATCCATGGGGAGGTGCTGTGCTCGAATGGAAAGGACCCTGGATCTGTCACTGACCATTGTGTGTCCTTGGGCAGATTCCCTCTCTGAGCTTCAGTTTCTCCTTCTGAAAAATGGGGTATAACAATTATTTTTCAGGGTGGTGGTGAGAATTGGAGATCATGGGTATCAAATGCTTGGTACGTTGTGGTTCTGGGTTAGTGGTATAAATTGTTAGGATTATTTGTTTTAATTTGAGCATCTTTGGAGGCATCATAATAAAGGAATGCTACATTTCAAGACTTTAAAGAAATTTTTTGATACTCAGAAAACATACCTCCTCCCACCCCAGAGCTTCATTTACCCCTAATCTGTGGGTGGGGCTCTAGGATAGAGTCAGGTAAGATGGGAGTCAGAGATCAGGTAAGGACCAGGGATGAGTTTATGATCAGGAATGAGATGGAAGCGAGGGAATGAGCCAGAAAATAGGTATTTATTGAGAGCATACTATCTGCCAGGATCTTCTAGGCCCGGCAGGAGTGGGACTAATACGGACCATGGCCTCAACCTCAGGAAGCTCACATTCCACTGGAGGAGTTTGTATTCCAGGCTGGAATCCAGGAAGGACCAGGGTTGGGGGAAAGTGTAGGATGGAATGATGACCACTTACAGGGAGGCCCAGGGATGGGGTGAAGGACAGAGAAGATGGCTTTATAAATTTCTTGATAAGCAGGAGAGGTATTATTTCTTTTTCTTCTGGACATCATGCCACCAAGTGAATGGGCTGCGTCAGAATGTTCTGCCTCCCTTTCTTAGGGATGGGCCAAGCCTGCTCTGAATTTGGACGAACACAAAAAGATGAAGCAGAGGCTGCCAGAGCCCTGGTATCTAGTCTTTCTGTGAAAACTGTTTTCTGTGCCCTGACTCGACACATGGCCCTCGTCTTCCTCCCCCACCTGCTGTCCTTCCCTCCGCGGCCTCTGCAGAGAAAGGACAGGACAGGCAGAGCGGATAAACAGAGAGGACATATTTATAACAAAACAACCTCGCTCCAGTAGACATATCTTTGGGGATCATGAATATTTTACTTTAAAATGAAAGCCTCTGAAAAACTATATTATTCCTGAAAAGGCTAAGGAGGAAGAAAAAAAAGAAGTTGACAGTAATGGACAACTTTAATACTGCAGTAATGTCCGGGAAGAAATCGTTTGTCCCGATGAGATTCTCATTTTAATCTTGGTATCAAATATCTCTCTAAGTGCCTCCTCACCAGGGGACAAGAGAAGAGGAGAGAAAATGTGCCTGCCATTTGCAGAGGATACATAACAACAATAATAATAACTGCTGATGTGACTAGCATCTCTTTTTCATATATTTTTTTCCTGATTAGGAAAAACAGGGTTTGCAATGCTTAGAGCAGGAAATGTAGAAAGCGGAAAAGGATATAAATCAGAAAACAAGAATCTTTTAGACACCCACCACCCAAAGTTAACCACTTGCAAACATTGCCTTGTGTTTTTTGTCCTTTGCTTATTTTGTGCCTCTACCTGTGTTTCGCAGAGTGCATTCTATGGAACCTGAGTTCCAGTGATCTCTTTGTAAAAACAGGGTTCCTTAGTCAAAGAACTTTGAGAAATGTTGCACACCTCCTTCATGGAGCTTTAAAAAGCCTATTAATTGATTGAAGGTGCTGAGAAATTACACAGTTTTTGAAAAATCTTGTTCAACTTTGTTTAGCTAGTGTTCCTCAGTCTTACTTGAAACAAGAACCTTTTATCTATGTGTGCCTATAATTTATGTGACGCATGTAGACATCCCATGTTTCCGGGTTAGGAAGCAATGATCTACACAAGGGTAGGCAGACATAAAGGGTCAGATAGTAAATGTGTTAGGCTTTGCCCATGGTTTCTGTTGCAACTGCTCAGCTCTGCTCTTGTCGTGCAAAAGCAGTCATTGGCGATATGTGGTGACCAGGCTGGAGTTTGCTGATCCTAGTCTATGTGTACAGTATTTCTAGGTTACCAAAGGGCTTCCACTTCTATTACTTTATTTGAATCTCACACTGTGTCCATGAATTAAGATCAGCATAGGGAGTCATAGTATCAGAAGGGGAAACTGAGGCACCGAGATGCCTAGTGGCCCATGACAAGTCGCCAATAGGGTTAGATGGAGCCAAAAATCTACTCTTGCTTGTAGAATAAAGGGGCCTTGCAAGCTGTTGGGCAGAGAGAAGAAGCAGGGTTGGGCCTGAGATCAGAGGCCTGGAGGTGGGGTTTGGATAAAGCTGCTGGCCCCAGTGAGAGCACACTCACTAAGGCCCAGTCTCTGTCTACCTGGAAGAGGCAGCCTAGGGCTGGGGGTGGGGGCTGAGTGAGAGACCGCTAAGTGCTGGGCACACGTGACCTTCTTATTTCCTCCCCCAGGAGACATCAGGTATGACGAGGCCATGGGTTACCCCATGGTGCAGCAGTGGCGGGTCCGGAGCAACCTCTACCGTGTGAAACTCAGCACCATCACCCTCTCAGCAGGTGAGGCCCACCGCCCGGGCAGCCAGGGGACTTGGCGTAACTCAGCACACATTTCCAAGGACCTAGGGTGTGCCAGGCCCTGTGCTGGTACTGGGGATGTTGAGGGAATGAGGCCACACTCTTCCTGCCGTCAAGGAGCTCCCAGGGAGAAAAGGTGGACAAGCAGAGGGTGACGTCCACACATTGCATAGGTCAATGCAATAATGGGGTAGTGGTGGCCCGGAAGAGGGAGCTACCCATTCTGGGGAGTCAGAGAGGCTTCCTGGAGGAAGGGGCATCTGAATAGGAGAGAGGGGGTACATGACAATCTAAGTCACATTTATGTTCTCAAAGGTTTGTGGACTGCAAGTTCTTCTCAGGCATTGGTTCCTCTGGTCTCTCCTAGCTGGTTTCTTTTCCTGCCCATCTCCTGCACAACAACACATACCCTCCTCCAACACACACACACATGCCTTGTCCATACTTTTCCCACAAGAACCCTGCGCTGCAGCTGATGGGGACTATTTGTGGTTCTCAAAATGAGACATGTTCTTTCATGCCTCTGTGACTTTGCACATGCTGTTCCCTCTGTCTGGATCTCCTTGCCCAGGGAACATACACTGCAGTACTCAGAGATGCCTCCCACATTCTCCATTCCCCTGAGAATAACTCAAGGAATTCCCTGTGCTCAACTACCTGTATGAAAGCACTAACAGATACTTGATTCTCCTCTGAATCCTGTCTGTCTCCCCCACTGACCTGAGAACTGCGGGTGGGGCTTGGGTCCTATTTATTCCTGGATTCTCTATTCCTGTATTCTCTGTAAGAAACAGAGAATCAGTACATCGTTGGTGCTTGTGTTTGATGAAGGACTAAAAAAAAATAAATGAAAACTGAAAAATAAGGAATGAGTGGAGGACTCTGCAAAGATGGGGCCTGGCCTACGATTTTCTATCCTTACATAGCTCTGCTACTGGGTTATTGTCCGAGTGTCTCCTCATTATCCACCAGCTCTTTTCTTTTTCAATATCACTTTGTTCACAAGCAACACGGAGCTCTTCTAGCCTGGGAATCAAAGGATTTCACTCTCTGGGAAGTACAAATAGTAATTATTGCTGATCTCAACAAAACACTTTATAATGTTTTATGTCTTATGACTTACATCAGTCCTGCGAGGAAGGCATTATTTATCCCACTTTTTTCCAGATAAAGAAACGGAGAGTCAGAGAGGTTAAGTAACTTGATCAATGCCACACAGCTCGTAACTGGCGGAATAGGAGCAGAGCCGGAATTTGATTGCAGTTTTGTCTGCCTAGATGAAAAGCCACAGGGCATCTCCATAGTGCTGTTTATTTATTACTTAACAGAAACTGTCTCATCATTAACACTGCTCTATTAATTACCCACTTGCATGAGTTAACAGGCTGATGGAGAGTTGTTCTAATCAAGCACCCATCCTTTGAGCCGTGTGTGTGTTTTCTCTACCACCCCCACCCTCACACCACACTTGTGAAGCAGACTGCGATGTTCCTGTTAGAACTACAAAGGTGTATCTGCTTTAATTAATCAGTAATGATGCTCCTGAGAACCCCCTTGAAAATCAACTGTTGGCAAATTGGAGCTCATTTTTAATGTTGGAGAGGAGCTTGCTCTTTTAGATTTTACTTTGATGCGGTGCAGAATCGGTTGTTCCTGTAACAATCGTGGTTGCTGTGTCTGCCACGTCCCAGGAACTGTGCCGTGTACCTGGTTGGGTGGAAGTGAGGCAGGATGCATGGGATGCGCACGCTCAGAGACCAATAGGACAGAGCTTCTGCTTTCAAGGTGGTGCGTGTTGAAGGTGCAGAGACCAGGTGCCCCTGGCCAGGATGGTATGAAAGGCTTCTCAGGGGTGGAGTGACTTCCCAGGGCCTTGAAGCATGGATGGGGAGGCCATTTCAGGTGAAAGGTGGGGTGTCTGTGTGTGCGTGTGCACATTGCGTGTTAGGAGTTGTGCGGGCGCGGTGTAAGTGAAGAAAGGATGGTGGAAATCCCAGGTCAGAAGAAGTAAGAAAATTGACATGGCTGGAGGTAAATTCTGATGTAGGTGAGTCATGGGAATGACCTTGGAGGTCTGGGATGACCACGTAAGGTCATTGGGCTTTGTGCAGTAGCAGGAAGGAGCCCAGGAAGGTCTTAAGGCTCCTGGAGAATAACTTGGAGACTTGCCTGTTGGAGAAAGGAGAGGTAAGGGGAACATGGTTACTGAGTGACTGCTGGGCAGGCCCCATGCTAGGCACTGAGGACTTAGGTCTCTCTGGCATGGGACCAAGGACAATAGAGCAGGAAGGAGGCGCTCGGCAATGTACGGGGAGAAAACATAGAACTGTTTCAGGGAGGCAACGGCAGGGGCAGAAAGGGAAGCGGTGTTACAGGAAGCGAAGCCAGGGATCCCATCTGAGGACACAGAGTATTTGCTGAGCCTGAGCCGGTGCAGCCCCGGGACTCCAGCTGCAGACTGTTCAAGCCCTGGATTACTGGGTGCGGTGGAAAGTGCATGCACTTTGGAGTGAGGACAGAAGTGGGCTGGCATCCCAGCTGCTCTGGCTGGAGGACCAAGGCAAGTCATTTACGCCTCTGACTTAGACTTGCTCGTCTACACAGCATGGGTGGTTGTGGCTGGGGTTGCAGTGTTGGGCTAAGCTTAAATTAGACAAAGTGGGTGAAACACCTGGCGGTGTGCCTGGTACATGTTAGTTCTCAGCAGACATCACTTTGGTTTCCTGATCGTGACTTTCACGTCCTGTGGTCTAGGTCGCCAGCTTTAGGCCTTCCTCTGCTGTCAAGTCCCTCTTGGTTGTGGTGTCTTGTGTGTCCACCAGGGAGAGCAGTCTTTGCTCTGTCAGTGAGGGAATGCTGAGCATGTCTGAACTGGTGCAGCCACCAAGCTAACACTGGAAACCAAATCCACTCTGGAAAGAGCCCCTTGCCGCTTATAATTTGCCCGCCACCCCCCCTCCCAAGTCTGACCCCCTCCATGTGCTCCTTCTCCGTCCAGGCTTCACCAACGTCCTCAAGATCCTGACCAAGGAGAGCAGTCGGGAGGAGCTTCTGTCCTTCATCCAGCACTACGGCTCCCACTACATCGCAGAGGCCCTCTATGGCTCTGAGCTCACCTGTATCATCCACTTCCCCAGCAAGAAGGTCCAGCAGCAGCTGTGGCTCCAGTACCAGAAAGGTAAGCCTGGAGGGCTTGTTGGAGGTGGCGGCCACGAGGGGTATGGAGGTAAGGCTGCTGGGGAGATAACTGAGCTCCTTGGAGCTAAATCCTGGCTCTGCCACTATAAACTGTGTGACTTTAGGCCAGTTCCTGCCCCTCTCTGGGCTTCAGTCTCACCATGGACAGAATGAGAGGGCCGTATGATGATTTCTCAGGATTCTTTCAGTTCAGGCATTTTCTGAGGCCCCAAGGTGCTGTTCTGGACTCCAGAACTCTGGCCTTCTACTGCAGGTTCCTTGTTTCTTACTGTCTCTCATTGAAACAATAGTTTCAAGTCTCTCTCATGGAGAGGCCTTTATTCTCAGGGAAGGTCACCAGATCTTATTTCTCCTCAATTCTCAGCTATTATCAGAATTAGAATTTCCTAGGCCAGATGCAGGAGACCAGTCTCTGCCACTCACCTTGGGAAATTCATTCCCTTCCCACCTCAGTTTTCCCTTCCTGTGAAATTGGCACTTAAGTAGCTATTCTTGTCTACTTCTCACATTAAAGGGAAGTGGTTTCTATAATATGTAGAATAAATATAGATAATTTGGGGAAAGATAGAAATATTGCTTAATGCATTATGTACTTTAATAGGTCCATGTGTTCATATCCCCATCTCACCGATGAGAAAATGAGTCTCAGATATGCTAAGTGAAGTGCCCATGCACACACAAAAAATAAGTAGCAGGGCGAGGATTGCTTCATGTTACCACTGTTACTATTGTTATCAATTAATTTAAAAACACATCCTCGATGGAAAGGATGACGAGCAATGTTAAAAGTGTGCATGCACCTCAGCCACCCCAACTCCAAGAACCAAATCAACCACAACTCATAAAACCACAGGATGTGGAGCCAGAAGGGTCTCATGGGGCTCAGCACTCCAGTTTTGCAGTTGGGAAAATTAAGGCCCAGAGTGGGAAGGAAGCTTGCTCATAGTCACACAGCTCTAAGGGCAGGGCCAAGATGGAGTGGCGTGCTCCACTCTCCCTGTCTAGCACCTCCCATGCTGCCCTTCATCCCCGACTGGATGAAACCTCTGTCCATCTGCCTTTACCATCTCCAGAACCCGTCCTTTTTGTCTCTGGGGTGCTTGCACCTCTGTCGTGGTCTCATCCCTCCCTGCCTCCTGTCTGTAACTGTGTGGGGCACGAGTGGTTTATAGGCGCAGGGGACATAATTGAGTTGTCTGGGAATAGCTCCATTTTATGGCTGTGACAATGACAGTCTTTAAGGAAGTGCATTAAATCAATAGAAGTCTAGTTGTGCTACCCTATAAATAACGTGACACATCATTAAGCAGGGCAATAAGCTTGAGGACTTTGAAGTAATACAATTAGTTTATGTTTATAAAAACCTGCACTCACTCTGGCCACTGAACTAATTTGCCTCATTCCGCATTCGGGGCCAGGCCTGGGACACCGCTCCAATGCTAAATCCCATCCCATCTCCATCCCTGGCTGCTTCCAGGCCTTGGAATTTTTCCCTCCAGAAAATCCCATTCCTCATAGAGTCAACGCGTGGAATCTGTTGCAAGTAAGATAGGGAAGGGAGCAGAAAGATTTTGCTGAAACAGCATCTGGGGGCCCCTCTTTAAGACTCAAAGAGTCTTCCAGTTTGCCACAAACTTGCCGGGTGAACTTGGCATGGTAGCTTTTCTCTCTGAGCTTCTAGTGCAAGGGCGCTTTACTTTCTTCCATCCTCCATGCTCATTCCCAAGAAGAGTGTAGGGATGCACTGAGGCCAACTTACCACTCTGAGTGTGTTTCTTCCTCTCTGTCTCCATCTGCTCTGACCACCTAGATGGTACCTCAAACACTATGGTTTTATTTTTTAAATTTGACAGTGATGCTTGGGAGTAGGTGGATGAGAAGCTGGGAATTTTCCCTTGAAGAATTGAAAGAACTCTGGATTCAGAGGGAGCTGGCAACCCTCCTCTCCCCAGCCATCAACTATGTGTCGTTGGCATGGGTTAAGCCAAGGTCCACTGGGAAGAGGTCAGGGTGAATCTGGGTTAGGGGGCTGATCACTCTGTGGGCAGAGCTTGTGGGAAGAGGCCGGATAGAGCAGTGTTGAAGGGGGACAGACAGGACTTCAAGTCCCGATGCCTCTTCTTACAGCCCTGCCAGGTAACCTTGGGCCAAGTGACTTCTAAGTTTTTGTTTCTTTGTGTGTTAAATGATAGGCAGGTTAATTTCTTTGCTTGGCTTTTGGGCAAATGAAATGGGACAATATAGGTAAAATTTAGCAGGCATTAGGTAATTACATGAGAAACAGTAGCTTAAAATAAAACGAAAATCATGGGCATCAGCTGAGCATTCTAGTCCTGGCTGCAGCTCCTGCTAATGTGTGACCTCAGCCCTCATTTCTCCTTGGGAAGCACCTATGTCACTAGAAAAGGACAATCCCTGCAAATGTCCTTTCAACCCAGTGAGGGTGGGGCTAGAGGGGTTCCAGGATTCTTTGAAATCTTTTTTTAGCCCCAGACGGTGGCTGCTCCTTGACTGCAATGGCCAAGGCTGGAAGAGGTGGTTGGGAGAAGAGACAACATAGAGCATGGATAAAAACCAGGGACTTTTGCACAGCACTTTACAGTTTACAGACAGCCTTTCCTTGGTCGTCCCACCTACCCCTTGAGGCAAAGAAGGTGAGAGTACTCACCCCTCATCTATGAGAAGGGAAACCTGAAGCTAACAGAAGATAAGGGGCTTGTCAGGGCCACACAGTTTGTTAGTGAATGAGATGGTGTTTGAATTGCAACCTGAGCCCAGATCCAGTGTCCCCAGACATTAGAAACAAATGTCCCAGCCTTTCCATGTTTACTAATGATGGGGCTCTGGCCACTGGTGTGATCCAGGGAAGCCACTGGAAATCATTGGAAAGCTAAGGAAGTTGGGCTGAATGTGCCTGATTAAAATACCTCTCAAGAGAGGTTTATTTTACTGTCATTCCCCTGCGTTCCACAAGAGGAAACGTCACATTCATCATTCATTAATTTTCTGCTTCACTGATATTTCCCAAGTGCTTCTTCTCTGCAGATCTTGGGCCAGGTACCGGGGCACCACAGTAAAAAACATGTGGGTGCTGTCTTAACCTTCCAACGTTTCATCATTTTTGTCATAGTCTTTTTTCAATCCACTGATAGACATCTGGAATGATGAAGGGGGCTGGCCGATGGTAGGGAACCCAGTCACTATCATGTGACGGCTCATAGTTTTCGTTTCCTGTGTCAATTCCCATCAACTGGGGAATGGCTTGTCTAGACCACTCGATGGAGGTCACTGAGATCCCTGGGGTAGCAAGCTCTGATCAGCTAGCAATGTCTGCTCTAGATGCAGAAAGGGGGAGTGGTGGTCAATACCCTACATACGTAATGTACTGTACATATTGTTTTCCCTGTAATCGGACAAAATAAAAGCTAGAATAACAGACCCAGCGTCTGACACTGATCCCAGAGGAGCACTGGGCATGCCAAGAAGGACTAGAAAGATCCTGGCAGGGAGGTGGGGTTTTATACCACTAAATGGGTATTCTGGGCATTTGCCCACCCTAAAGGGGACTGGAGCACTGGACAGGTCAATTAAATGGTACCTGACAGAAGCCAGGAAGAGCTGGAACTTGGGAGGCAACTAGAGTAGCCGAGGTCATCCCAGGCATGATTAGCATGGAAGCTGCTCAGTCTGTCAGTTTCCTTTAACCATCACCTCTGCCCCAGGCCATGCTCTGAGCACCATGTGAAGTTTTGAGTCTCTTGCCTCAGCTTAATACTTTCACTACAAGCTGCTGTGTTCTTGATATTCCTGTATTTTGAAAAGCTGCCTTTCTGCCAATCGGGGCCCCATCTCACTCCTTGACTTGATAGTCACGTGCTCTCCCAAGCCGTGACCTTGATACATGCGTCTTATGTCATGATTAAGACGCTATAGTTACCCTTCCTCTGGATACTTTGAATAAAGACTTCCTTGTTTGGAAGTAAAGCACAGCTTTTGCAGTCAGATGCACCGTGGTTCAAATCCCAGCTCTACCGCTTACTAGCCATGTGATCTTGGGCAAATCTGTAAAATCAATTTCCCAATATGCAAAATGCACAGTCATTTTGTGGATCCAAGGAGAGAAGAGACAGATTAACGATGGATCCATCTAGCACTGAGCTGGGCAGTTAATTATTATCTTGATCCAAACCATTCCCTCCACCCATGGCTGCCACATCCACTCAGGTAATCATGTTCCCAGATGTATGTGTGTATGTGTAGGTCCACACTGGTGTGTATACGAGTAGGGGAAGAAATGGCTGCTAATTTACTCCCATCTCATCCGTTGACTCAGGACCAAGGACAGGGGTAGATAGACCTCAGGTGGGGAGGGGCCTGGGCGAGTTGAGCTGGGTGGAGCCAGTGGAGGGAGGGAGCTGCGGAGCTGCACTAGGGAGGTGTGGAAAGGGCTCTGTGACCCTGCACGTTTGTCATCCCTTGTCATTCTCTACTCTGGAAGGATAGCGATGGATGCAGAAATTACCAGTCTGATAGGTTTCCTGAATTTTCAGCTACCTTTTTTGTCATGGAGAAAGTGACTCCGGAAGGAGAAGAGTGTGTGTATGTGAAGGAATTAATTCACTGTGTGTGTGTCTGTGTGAGAGAGAGAGAGAGACAGACAGGCACACAGACAGATAGAGAGAGACAGAAAGACAGAGAGAAACTGATCAACTGAGGGAGGTATGAGGAAACAGAAAAACAAAGAGAGATAGACAAAGGCAAACTGAAATCCACAGAGAAATGGAGAGACAAAGAAAATGCAGAAGAGAAAACGTATGCAATTAATATGCCTTTTGAAGTTTAGAGACTCGGTGACCCTGTGAAAAGACATTCTCCATGTGAAGGTTGCACTGCTCTTGAGTTTAGATTGGGAGAGTCCATGGTATAGAGATGTCCTTGCAGATAAATGCCTGTCGCCACCTTTAAAAGATGTTTTATCTC